CAGCTGTCCAGTGCCAACGTTTAGTGCCAATGCAGGAACGCTGGTGAAGTGGAACGGCTCGTATATAACCATGTAGAAGACACTTCCTATTACACACACCTTCTTTAAGCTTTAAAGGAGCCTCTGGGCGTTTCTTAATCAGTGTGTATCACCAAAACGCACCATGTTTAACCACTAAGGTGTAACCAGTCGTACATTTACCCAAGTAATGAGCTTAAAGGTGGGGTAGGTAAGAATGGAGAAATCAGTGCGCTAGAATTTGAAAGTACGCAGCCGAAAAAAATCTGCCCCTTCCTTCAGACTTCCTTACAGAGCCCCTCCTCCAACACACACGAACGCGCACATGACCAATGAGGGCACGAGATAAGTTTGTGCCCCGATGGAAGGGTGACAGGCAGGTAGGCCATCCAGTTACTTTAGCCGGCTCAGATGATTGGTCGTGCTTTTTACAGTACTACAGCTTCCACAGATTATATATTTATTGTCAAAGCATTTCATGTATTCATTGCTATCGGGATGTTAAGAGCATTCCATGGAATATAACAAGTGTTTCTGAAGTGAATTACCTACCCCACCTTTAAGTAGTTTGTCTAGACATACATGTACTTAAGTATTTCCATTTCGTGCTAAATATAGTCCTCTACATCCTCGGTTTACAAATACACACTCATGATATGATAACACGATGTGATGCATATCACTACTAATCTACCAAGTATAACAAATGTGCTCGACATAACAATACAAATATGTAACACCAAATACAATCATATGTTATAGAATTGTAATATTGTGAAAAGGGACATTGTTCAAACAATACTTTGTACTTACTTTAAGTACATTTACCTGATAATGAAGTATATAAAGACCATGCATATTATTTCTACTAAGTCAATAATTTAGGTACTTCTTCCACCACTGGGTGTGATAAATGTGCATTTCCTTTCCCTATAAAACATCTGAAAGCCTTTGTTGGTGTACTTCCAAGACAGATAATGTATAAATCATTTATTTGGCTGGCATTGGAAGCTATAAAATATTACGAGACATCATTTTGCAGAATCATCCCATAGTATCCCATGCTGTGGCAGCAGTTTGTGGACAGCCGTGTCCTTCCTCACTACACAAGGTGTCGCTACCTAGAAGGAGCTGATCAGCGGAGTCACGCAGGAGGTTCAAGGTCTTAATTTGCTTCTAACAAAATGCTTTTCGGCCAATCAGAAACCACCTCTCCAATAGCCAAATTCAAATTTTCTTAAAGGTCACCTATTATGCAAAATCCACTTTTTCATGTCTCTTCTACATCAACATGTGTCCCCTCTTCTTCATTTCTCTTCTACATCAACATGTGTCCCCTCTTCTTCATGTCTCTTCTACATCAACATGTGTCCCCTCTTCTTCATGTCTCTTCTACATCAACACGTGTCCCCTCTTCTTCATGTCTCTTCTACATCAACACGTGTCCCCTCTTCTTCATGTCTCTTCTACATCAACATGTGTCCCCTCTTCTTCACGTCTCTTCTACGTCAACATGTGTCCCCTCTTCTTCATGTCTCTTCTTCATCAACATGTGTCCCCTCTTCTTCATGTCTCTTCTACATCAACATGTGTCCCCTCTTCTCCATGTCTCTTCTACATCAACATGTGTCCCCTCTTCTTCATGTCTCTTCTACATCAACATGTGTCCCCTCTTCTTCATGTCTCTTCTACATCAACATGTGTCCCCTCTTCTTCATGTCTCTTCTACATCAACATGTGTCCCCTCTTCTTCATGTCTCTTCTACATCAACATGTGTCCCCTCTTCTTCATGTCTCTTCCACATCAACATGTGTCCCCTCTTCTTCATGTCTCTTCTACATCAACATGTGTTCCCCTCTTCTTCATGTCTCTTCTACATCAACATGTGTCCTCTCTTCTTCATGTCTCCTCTACATCAACATGTGTCCCCTCTTCTTCATGTCTCTTCTACATCAACATGTGTCCCCTCTTCTTCATGTCTCTTCTACATCAACATGTGTCCCCTCTTCTTCATGTCTCTTCTTCATCAACATGTTGTCCCCTCTTCTTCATGTCTCTTCTTCATCAACATGTGTCCCCTCTTCTTCATGTCTCTTCTACATCAACATGTGTCCCCTCTGTGGAAAGAGACTCTGAAAGTTTCAGGAACAAAGATTCTCTCTCTTTTTGATCCATTTCTATAAAAACCTGTCTGAAAATGAGCTGATCAGATTTTGGCCACTTTATGATGTCATAATGATTTGTTGTCTTGTGTAACCATTAGCCAATCAGCAACCAAGGTAACCCCCCCCCCCACCCCTTATCACCTGAATCTCCTCCTAGAGCACCATTGAGTTCTTTGTAACCAAATCTCTCTCAGAGGGGCGTGGGGAGGGGCTCCTTATTTTCATCTGAAGTAACAGACAGAGAATCAGCACTTTGGAAACAGGGCTGAAACAGAGGGGATTATGGGTAATGCTCCAATGATCTGTTTGGTGTTTCAGCCAATCAGAGACAGCTCTGGATATATTTGAGACCTGTGATATATTGATGAAAAACCGTATAATAGGGGACCTTTAAGCAGACATCCAACAATCAGGCTCACTTCCTACACACTCATAGCTGGAAGTCCTTTTTTAATCTTCAAATAACTTTTGTCACTTCCCTCAGACTGTCTGTAAGTGTGTGCTGTTATGGAGACTCCAAGCTCATACAAACTAGTCCTCAGAGACAGATTAGAAGGCACAGGTTACTTACTACTAGTGCACTTTAAGAATATTATAAGGCCTTCACACTATCCCCATAATTACATGAACAAACAAGCATGAGTCAGTGCTGCAACAACAACAACAAAGGTTATCTTAAGTGGCACCATGACAGATTTAGGAGGATTTGTGGCAGTTGATGTACAAACTGTTGGTTTGCCATAGGCGGATAAACAGTTAGACCTTATATCATGATGCGTTTGATCTGAATGAATGTGGAGTTAAACATAATTACTGTAAAGGGCAACAGACTTATTGCAAAATGGATATTCTGTTTACCAAATCATCTTCATCATCATCATCATCATGGCATGCCACGTAAGCGCCAGTGTATTGATCTCATTGCAATATATGGTCACGGAAACTAGTACAGTTTAGCCTGACCGTGTACAATCACCTGTTATTTGTCATGCAATATGAGTCACATGACCACCTCTAATATTAGTCGTGGAGAACTCTTCTTGTTGAATCATCATAAATCATTGCGGCTCTATTCTGAATATATATTACAACCCTTTTTCTATCCGGACTGCTGTTAAATTTGTCATATTTAAGATTGATTTGTCCTTGAATTTGCTGCCTTACGTGGCAACTTTTGCTTTTGAGTTTGCAAAATCTCATGGCGCGTGAACAGGTGGAAACCAATCAGGCTGCAAGGAGACATTTCTGAGGGACATTTTCCCATTTAGGAGCGTTTGTTTGTCCCAAAGCACGAGCACTTTAGGATAAGGATTACAAAGATGTTCTTGCATGAGGCCCATTGAACCATCACTGGCTTCCCATCAACATGTGTTTGACCCACATGAGTACTACTGCTGTAAGAAAGTACCACTGACTGTCAGCAGGTAAAATCCCCTGCACCACTAACGCACCCAAATGTTACACTGCTTTTATTAGCAGTGACCGGTCATCTAGAATGATCCCTTTGCAAAAAAGCAAAGGACCTAAAGCAGGGGTGTCCAAACTTCTTTCACAGAGAATACAGAAACATATACATAGGTCTGTGCCGCTCACTAGAGGTATATCGCCTCATAAGTTCAGTTATAAGTTAGCGACATCAATCAAATGTAGGTAAAGGATGCTTGTGAGTGTTGGCAGCTCATCCCTTAAAGCAGAAGCCTCATTGATCATAAGGAGAAATATGAAGGGTTTATTTCAAGCTTGTTATGGAAATAAGTCATTGGGCTTTTTTCTTATCAACTAAGATTTGTTAGAAAAATGTTTCCAACTTGACTGGATTTATTTGAAAAGTGTTTTTTATTAACACATGAATACTACTGTGTGATATATGTTTACATTTATATTTAAGAAGTACAATATAAGACAAGCACAAGTTTCATTTGTGGGCCGTATTCCATTATACTTTTTGAATTTGATGAGGGCCGATTCAAAATGGTCCGCGGGCCACATTTGGCCCCCGGGCCGTAGTTTGGACACCCCTGATCTAGAGGCATCGTCTTTTCATGCTGTGGATATATACTTTGACCGAGGCTCAGGCCACCACCATGCTCTCAGATGAGCTAACCCAGAGTCATAAAGCACACGGTGATGTGACTACAACAGAGACGTCACGGTGGCGAGCCGCCGGCAGACAGACAGCACTAGTGGATGTTTTCCCTGCGGCCGGCGGGCGGATGGAGGGGGCATCAATTAGCCTCCAGCCGGCTCTGACCTTGAAATGGAGCGCAGGAAAACAGGAAGTCTCCCTGAACCACAGCCACGAGTTCCACATTGTGTCCTGCATCATTTATTGATTTTTTCATACCACTGAAGAATGGGCATTGACACATTTTAGGGCTCTTACTGCTTCCAAATAACATCATGAATGTATTGAATGGTGCCCTGCATCCTTGTGGTTTAAATCAGGCAGTATTAATACTTAAGGATGAGCGAGTGAGTGTTAAAAATAATGCATTCACTGCAGGGGTAGAACAGTTGTTTCCTGCACACCTTCAGAGTGTGGAGGAATATTTCAGCAGCTAGGTCATGGGCCTCCTGCTACACTCTGCAAGTCGCAACGTGTCTGCAGGAGACTTTTCCTGACAGAGGAAAGACATTTGCAAACACAATGACAAAACAGGGACACACTCAGCCTATCTGTAAACAAAAAGAAGAAAATCACAGTCCAAGGTTAAGCTTGTGAACCCCATGCTGACACCCTGTATCATGATACTGGAGAGCCTTCCGGAACAAAGGGACATGCTGTGTGAAAGGACTGAACTAAGTGAGGCACTTACATTTAGTTGGGATGAAGATATCGTTTCTCTCCTGTGTTGTCCGAGGGAGGGGAGTCAGCTTTGGGAGGGTGGGCCGCTCTGCGCTGTATTTCAGAGTCACAGAGGCATCAGCGTGAGTCACTCGAGGGGAAACGTACGGCCCTCGTGTGGATTTCTCCTCCATTAAAACGTCAGGACGTCCCGAGGTAATGGCCGTGGTCGAGGAGACAAAAGACGTAGACGACGAGTGAGGGATGGACACAGTCAGTCCCAGCGTGGGGGTCACAGATATGATGATGGGGTCCTGTCCGATGGGTTTGGGATCTAAGTGTGTGGGGGGTTCGTACTCAAAGATCTTATCCACAAAGACCCACTTGAGGCCGGCGGTGCAGAGGGCTAAACTCAGCAGACAGGCCAGGATGGGAAGGATGCAGATTTTCTCCGAGTGCAGACAATTGTTAATCCGTTCCATCTCTATGCACACACAGCAGGATCCAGGCAAGGCCACAACTCCCAAAGCCCCCACATGTTCCCCATCACCCTCTGCACCCTCCCCAGCCTCGCCAGCTGCCTCCGTCTCCTCTGGTTTCTCCTCTGGTTTCTCCTCGGGGACTTGTCCAGTGTCAACGGTAGAGCTGGTGGGGGAGGCCTGTCCAGGAGGGGGAGAGATGTCCTCCATTCCCTCGGTCATCCTTCTGGGTCTCTGAACACCTACACTATTAACTCAGAGCATCACAGTGTCTGCCACCGGTCTCCTCGACTATGTTTTCCATCATGAGGCGGCAGTAAGGTATGAAGAGGGAGCTTGTTAACAGTCTGGGAGGTAGGAAGACAGCCTTCTGCGCACAAGTTCCTCACTCATGCTGTCCCACAGGAAATCTATAAATAGAAGCTGTAAACAACAAAAAAAAGAGTCCTTAAATGTTCTGCGTGGTGAAGAAGAGAGGCGAAGGGTAGCCCTCACTCACCTGAGCACTTTAAAGTCGGTGTGGAGGTGAGGATGAAGAGCAGAGGAGGAAGAGCAGAAGACGGGACGGCCAGCCACTGCAGAGGAAAGAGGGACATGCTGTCTGAGAGGAGCTCCACGAAGATGAAAGGCTGAATCATCAGGGAGCGGCAGGTGCCCTTCCTCTCAGCGCAGCTACAGAAACAGATGAGTAAGGGGAAAGAGAGAGAATCGTGGAGAGAAGAAGAAGGGGGGGGGGCTGCAGCAGCACAGAAGGGCAGAGAAGACAGAATACTCCCCTTTTTTCTTCTCTCAACCCCACCTCCAAGTGGCCTCCTCCCTCTTCCTGTCTGCCTCTCTCCTGCAGGCTGCTCCCAATCCAATCCCAGCACAAAGCATCCAGCTAAGCAAGTTCCTACTTGATCCAATTAGAGGGCATGTCAGCGAATCACAGGCCGGCAAAGCTGTGGTAGCCGCCCACCGTCCAGCACCACTCCCCATTGATTATGCTGATACTGAAGGGTGTGTTTTTTGTCAAGGGGAAGGAGCCGGGGAAGCAGACATATGATCCTCCCCGAGAGGATGCAGCCTTTGTGCTCTGCTCTCCTGCATTCATTAGTGTAATAACAGGGCAAGTGCATTGGCAGGAAGTATAGATATACACAGGTACAATACATTATAAACAAGAAATTAATCACAGCTAAGTTTTATTTTCAGTTTATCAGACGATGCTGGGTCATTGTCACACTATCATGGCTTACATGAGAAAATAAACATTAATATACTTAAAATAACTACATTTAAATCAGGAGAAGAAGAAGAAAATACACACGTCATTAATACATCTTACCACCCGGTCGTTATGCATATTTAGTGGTCTTTAACTCACCTACTTTCCTCCTCTTTCCTCAAAGATATGAACTTGGTTTCTGATTCAAATGGTTATTTACTAGATTCTTCCATTGTGAGTTAATTAAGTTATTATCTTTGAGCCAATCCCTCTCACTGTAATGGCTTTCTGTGACTCTTGAACTGAACACAGCCCATAGTAATCAAGAAGATTGCTTCTGAACACAAGACAACGGCAGGAGTAAGTGTTCAATGTGATCTGATTTGGTTCAAATGCTCAACAGAGGAGAACATTTTGCAAGCTTGTGTAAATATGCACATTGACATTGTATTTTATCTCGTTGCACTGTCATCGCTACTACCTCTGCTTTTACCACTCTTATTCATTTAAATGTGTCTATTTGTGTACTGCAGTGAGAGTTGCCAAAGAAATATCGTTGTACTTTGTATGATGACAATAACGATATATTCTATTCTCTTTTGAATGTATTCTGAATACCAATAAGTAAAATTAACAAAATTGGAAAACATCCGTTATTCACACTTTATTTTATATCCAATTTGTTAAATAGGGTGTATTGATCATAAAACTAACATTTCCCAAGTGTGACTGAAAGCCCCCAGACCACCAATAAAACTATTAGCTCCCGAACCCCCTACCACCATGCGGGCTAATAGGCTAGTGAGGAAATCCAGATTCCTGGTGAGGATTAAATAAGATGAAGACAGTCGCAGAGGTCAGGTCAGCGCCACACTGAACACTGACACTGCGGTGACCCTCTCCAATCCCCGGACAGAATTAATACCAGTAATGGTATCTGTGGGAGAGCACTTCCTGTCAGTCTGCTGAATTAGAGACCTGCATATTGATCCGCCCCTCAGCGTTTTCACCCTTCATGGGGGGCCAAAGACTCACAAAGGAAATAGATAAATAAATAAATCAATAGGGGAGAAAACAAATAGAAAATGTGCTCAAGATATTAGTTTAAATTAAGTATGTATTCATTTGTTTATGTCCACATGGATTCAGTTTCCTTAGCTCTCATTGGATTATCAGGCTGGGAAAAAAGAAGATATTTTGAAATGTCATTGACAAAAAACTCACATCCTGTAAGCCACCATTGTTGTTCCTCACTGCAACAACACCCTGATCAGCCAATGGGAGCCAAACACTGACAAAAGCAATAGATAAATAAATAAATAAATAGGGAAAGAATAAATAGAAAATGTGCTTAGAAAGATAGGATCAAGATGCAATCAATATATAATTTAAAGGTCACCTATCATGTTATTTTTAGGCAATAGCATAGGTCTCAGATATATAAAGATATATAAAAAATATGTCTATGAAGTCTTTTGCTCAAAATACCAAACAGATCACCCATTCTAGCCATGCCTCATATCCCTCTATTTCACTTCCTGTTTCAAAAGTGCTGATTTGGGGATAAAGCTTTAAAAAGAAAAGGAAATTGATTAAATAAAAAGGAGGGGGCTGAGCTCATGCGGGACCCGGCAGCTACTGTATAAACTAAATACTGCAGTGATGAAACGCCATATCATGGATTATCAAGGATTCTCTCTGAAACAGTTTGGAGCTCAAAGGCTTTCTCTCTTGCCGGTTATACCACAAGGTGAGTTCCTTTCTACTTCCTGCTTCTTCACACACATGCTCTCCAGTACAGGTTAGCTCTGAGTGTTAGCGATGCTAATGTAAACACCGACCATATTACGTCCAAAACAGTCGGGCATTGTTTCTGATAGCAACGTTTCTGATTGGGCCGTGGGTCCACATTTCAGATATTACGTCATATCGGACGCAAATCTGGATCAGCTCCGTTGTTCCCCCGTTTTTAGAGATTTGGGTACGGAGGAAAAGAGGGTTTTATTTCCTGACGCTGCGTGAGTTCCCCGACCCACCGGGGACACATGTTGATGTATAAAAGACATCATTTCAAACTGCATTTTGCATGATAGGTCCCCTTTAAATTAAGTATTTATTCATTTGTTTATGTCCACATGGATGTATGGTTTACTCAGGCTCTCATTGGATTATCAGGCTGGGAAAAAGTGTGTTTTACAAAAAACTCACATCCTGTACACACTACCATTGTTGTTCCTCACACACTGATCAGCCAATGGGAGCCAAATACTGACAAAAGCAATAGATAAATAAATAAATCAATAGGGAAAGAATAAATGGAAAATGTGCTTAGAAAGATAGGATCAAGATGCAATCAATATATATTTTTAATGAAGTATTTATTCATTTGTTTATGTCCACATGGATTTGGTTGCCTTAGGCTCTTGATGGATTATCAGTCTGGGAAAGAAGTATATATTTCTAAATGTAATTGCCAAAAAACTCACATCCTGTACGTACGCCACCATTGTTGTTCCTCACACACTGATCGGCCAATGGGAGCCAGTGGAGAGCATCCCTTGTTTTTGAACAGGAGATGCAAAAAAAAAAATCGCAATAAAAGTGAAAGATTATATAAAAAAAAGTAGGGAAAAAAATACATTTCAAAAATAAATGTGGAAATATTTAAATTAGTACCTGTGGGAACATACGAGTGAATGCAGAAAAACATCCTATTCTTAATTTATTAATCTATTTTTTATCTAATTTATTTATTTTTTGGGACACCTTTGGGACTCCGTAAGCATTGCTTTGTTTAAGAGGAATCACTCACAAGTGCAGTGATTATGTGCTCAAGCAGAGGGAGGTGGTGCTCAATAGTTGGAAAGATGAATGCACCAGAGGAGGAGAGCTTCATCAAATGGAAGTATAGAGGTGTGTTCGAAACCAAAACAAAGCTAAATCAAAAGGCAGCCCAGATAGACATTTCATTTTAAAAGACATTAACTGAATAGACATTGGTTTCCTCAGAGCAGCACAAATTAGAGCCGGTTGAAAATGTTTTATGCTGATATTTTTGTTATATTGGTTGCCTGATTTGATTTGCGTAATATTTCACTTATATCTCCAAATTCTAGTTCTGAAGTACGGCGGCCGACAGGTGGAAAGATGTTTCAACGTCCCAAAACACTGCAGTTTCTAAATCGATGCAAATATTGAAAGCACAAATATGCCAAAACACATGAAAATGAGGAACCAGGTAAACATTAGGTAAATAACGGATTTAATTTCTAACATAACCCACCCATCCACTGCATATTGAAGTGTCCGAACATTAGAGGGTTTTTGGGGGCAACCATGAAGGACTGGTCGTCTCACAGGAGGGGATGTGATGGTTCAGTGGAGACTGGTCCCTTTGTTCTCATGAGCTGAGGGACAGAGGCTTAAATCCCACACTGACACTATATGTAAAGAATGCATAATGACTATTTTATGATCACTTTAAAGGATAATGCTAGTTTATTACAACTTGGGTCTTTATCGGTAGTATTTTAGCAATGATAACTTTGAACTCCACAGTATAACAACTGAAATTGTGGTCTAATTTTCTCTTCCAAATGATTTTGACCCGTTTGTTTTCACTGCTCATCTCCTTTATTTGTAGTGACGCTACCATCTTCCCAGATATGAGCTATTAACTCAATTCTGCTGATGTTCAGGTGTATATCAGTATGTAGTGTCTCTACTTTAAAGAGTCCTCTCCTGCTGATGTTCAGGTGTATATCAGTATCTAGTGTCTCTACTTTAAAGAGTCCTCTCCTGCTGATGTTCAGGTGTATATCAGTATGTAGTGTCTCTACTTTAAAGAGTCCTCTCCTGCTGATGTTCAGGTATATATCAGTATGTAGTGTCTCTACTTTAAAGAGTACTCTCCTGCTGATGTTCAGGTGTATATCAGTATGTAGTGTTTCTACTTTAAAGAGTCCTCTCCTGCTGATGTTCAGGTGTATATCAGTATGTAGTGTCTCTACTTTAAAGAGTCCTCTCCTGCTGATGTTCAGGTGTATATCAGTATGTAGTGTCTCTACTTTAAAGAGTCCTCTCCTGCTGATGTTCAGGTGTATATCAGTATGTAGTGTCTCTACTTTAAAGAGTCCTCTCCTGCTGATGTTCAGGTGTATATCAGTGTGTAGTGTCTCTACTTTAAAGAGTCCTCTCCTGCTGATGTTCAGGTGTATATCAGTGTGTAGTGTCTCTACTTTAAAGAGTCCTCTCCTGCTGATGTTCAGGTGTATATCAGTATGTAGTGTCTCTACTTTAAAGAGTCCTCTCCTGCTGATGTTCAGGTGTATATCAGTACGTAGTGTCTCTACTTTAAAGAGTCCTCTCCTGCTGATGTTCAGGTGTATATCAGTACGTAGTGTCTCTACTTTAAAGAGTCCTCTCCTGCTGATGTTCAGGTGTATATCAGTATGTAGTGTCTCTACTTTAAAGAGTCCTCTCCTGCTGATGTTCAGGTGTATATCAGTATGTAGTGTCTCTACTTTAAAGAGTCCTCTCCTGCTGATGTTCAGGTGTATATCAGTGTGTAGTGTCTCTACTTTAAAGAGTCCTCTCCTGCTGATGTTCAGGTGTATATCAGTATGTAGTGTCTCTACTTTAAAGAGTCTTCTCCTGCTGATGTTCAGGTGTATATCAGTATGTAGTGTCTCTACTTTAAAGAGTCCTCTCCTGCTGATGTTCAGGTGTATATCAGTACGTAGTGTCTCTACTTTAAAGAGTCCTCTCCTGCTGATGTTCAGGTGTATATCAGTACGTAGTGTCTCTACTTTAAAGAGTCCTCTCCTGCTGATGTTCAGGTGTATATCAGTATGTAGTGTCTCTACTTTAAAGAGTCCTCTCCTGCTGATGTTCAGGTGTATATCAGTATGTAGTGTCTCTACTTTAAAGAGTCCTCTCCTGCTGATGTTCAGGTGTATATCAGTGTGTAGTGTCTCTACTTTAAAGAGTCCTCTCCTGCTGATGTTCAGGTGTATATCAGTATGTAGTGTCTCTACTTTAAAGAGTCTTCTCCTGCTGATGTTCAGGTGTATATCAGTATGTAGTGTCTCTACTTTAAAGAGTCCTCTCCTGCTGATGTTCAGGTGTATATCAGTATGTAGTGTCTCTACTTTAAAGAGTCCTCTCCTGCTGATGTTCAGGTGTATATCAGTATGTAGTGTCTCTACTTTAAAGAGTCCTCTCCTGCTGATGTTCAGGTGTATATCAGTATGTAGCGTCTCTACTTTAAAGAGTCCTCTCCTGCTGATGTTCAGGTGGATATCAGTATGTAGTGTCTCTACTTTAAAGAGTCCTCTCCTGCTGATGTTCAGGTGTATATCAGTATGTAGTGTCTCTACTTTAAAGAGTCCTCTCCTGCTGATGTTCAGGTGTATATCAGTATGTAGTGTCTCTACTTTAAAGAGTCCTCTCCTGCTGATGTTCAGGTGTATATCAGTGTGTAGTGTCTCTACTTTAAAGAGTCCTCTCCTGCTGATGTTCAGGTGTATATCAGTATGTAGTGTCTCTACTTTAAAGAGTCTTCTCCTGCTGATGTTCAGGTGTATATCAGTATGTAGTGTCTCTACTTTAAAGAGTCCTCTCCTGCTGATGTTCAGGTGTATATCAGTATGTAGTGTCTCTACTTTAAAGAGTCCTCTCCTGCTGATGTTCAGGTGTATATCAGTGTGTAGTGTCTCTACTTTAAAGAGTCCTCTCCTGCTGATGTTCAGGTGTATATCAGTATGTAGTGTTTCTACTTTAAAGAGTCCTCTCCTGCTGATGTTCAGGTGTATATCAGTATGTAGTGTCTCTACTTTAAAGAGTCCTCTCCTGCTGATGTTCAGGTGTATATCAGTATGTAGTGTCTCTACTTTAAAGAGTCCTCTCCTGCTGATGTTCAGGTGTATTTCAGTATGTAGCGTCTCTACTTTAAAGAGTCCTCTCCTGCTGATGTTCAGGTGTATATCAGTATGTAGCGTCTCTACTTTAAAGAGTCCTCTCCTGCTGATGTTCAGGTGTATATCAGTATGTAGTGTCTCTACTTTAAAGAGTCCTCTCCTGCTAATGTTCAGGTGTATATCAGTATGTAGTGTCTCTACTTTAAAGAGTCCTCTCCTGCTGATGTTCAGGTGTATATCAGTATGTAGTGTCTCTACTTTAAAGAGTCCTCTCCTGCTGATGTTCAGGTGTATATCAGTATGTAGTGTCTCTACTTTAAAGAGTCCTCTCCTGCTGATGTTCAGGTGTATATCAGTATGTAGTGTCTCTACTTTAAAGAGTCCTCTCCTGCTGATGTTCAGGTGTATATCAGTATGTAGTGTCTCTACTTTAAAGAGTCCTCTCCTGCTGATGTTCAGGTGTATATCAGTGTGTAGTGTCTCTACTTTAAAGAGTCCTCTCCTGCTGATGTTCAGGTGTATATCAGTATGTAGTGTCTCTACTTTAAAGAGTCCTCTCCTGCTGATGTTCAGGTGTATATCAGTATGTAGTGTTTCTACTTTAAAGAGTCCTCTCCTGCTGATGTTCAGGTGTATATCAGTATGTAGTGTCTCTACTTTAAAGAGTCCTCTCCTGATGTTCAGGTGTATATCAGTATGTAGTGTCTCTACTTTAAAGAGTCCTCTCCTGCTGATGTTCAGGTGTATATCAGTATGTAGTGTCTCTACTTTAAAGAGTCCTCTCCTGCTGATGTTCAGGTGTATATCAGTATGTAGTGTCTCTACTTTAAAGAGTCCTCTCCTGCTGATGTTCAGGTGTATATCAGTATGTAGTGTCTGTACTTTAAAGAGTCCTCTCCTGCTGATGTTCAGGTGTATATCAGTATGTAGTGTCTCTACTTTAAAGAGTCCTCTCCTGATGATGTTCAGGTGTATATCAGTATGTAGTGTCTCTACTTTAAAGAGTCCTCTCCTGATGTTCAGGTGTATATCAGTATGTAGTGTCTCTACTTTAAAGAGTCCTCTCCTGCTGATGTTCAGATATATATCAGTATGTAGTGTATCTACTTTAAAGAGTCCTCTCCTGCTGATGTTCAGGTGTATATCAGTATGTAGTGTCTCTACTTTAAAGAGTCCTCTCCTGCTGATGTTCAGGTGTATATCAGTATGTAGTGTCTCTACTTTAAAGAGTCCTCTCCTGCTGATGTTCAGGTGTATATCAGTATGTAGTGTCTCTACTTTAAAGAGTCCTCTCCTGCTGATGTTCAGGTGTATATCAGTATGTAGTGTCTCTACTTTAAAGAGTCCTCTCTTGCTGATAATCAGGTGTATATCAGTATGTAGTGTCTCTACTTTAAAGAGTCCTCTCCTGCTGATGTTCAGGTGTATATCAGTATGTAGTGTCTCTACTTTAAAGAGTCCTCTCCTGCTGATGTTCAGGTGTATATCAGTATGTAGTGTCTCTACTTTAAAGAGTCCTCTCCTGCTGATGTTCAGGTGTATATCAGTATGTAGTGTCTCTACTTTAAAGAGTCCTCTCCTGCTGATGTCCAGGTGTATATCAGTACGTAGTGTCTCTACTTTAAAGAGTCTTCTCCTGCTGATGTTCAGGTGTATATCAGTATGTAGTGTCTCTACTTTAAAGAGTCCTCTCCTGCTGATGTTCAGGTGTATATCAGTATGTAGTGTCTCTACTTTAAAGAGTCCTCTCCTGCTGATGTTCAGGTGTATATCACTATGTAGTGTCTCTACTTTAAAGAGTCCTCTCCTGCTGATGTTCAGGTGTATATCAGTGTGTAGTGTCTCTACTTTAAAGAGTCCTCTCCTGCTGATGTTCAGGTGTATATCAGTATGTAGTGTCTCTACTTTAAAGAGTCCTCTCCTGCTGATGTTCAGGTGTATATCAGTATGTAGTGTCTCTACTTTAAAGAGTCCTCTCCTGCTGATGTTCAGGTGTATATCAGTATGTAGTGTCTCTACTTTAAAGAGTCCTCTCCTGCTGATGTTCAGGTGTATTTTCACCCTCTGTCTGACACCAGAGCCCAGTCTGCTGTGATTGGCTAGCTGGCCGGCGTTGTTGTGATTGGTCAACAGCTAAGAGATGTCCCGCCCCTTAGCCTGTCACGTACAATGTGTTGATGTACATGTGTCTCTTCTCCTTTGTACTGCAACTATCTCCTTTAGGATCACACGATTAAAAGCACAACAGGAGCTACAGTTCTCACAGACAGTTTATTTAAAAACACACATATTCCCTTTATCTATCCTATCATTAGTCAAATATAACACATTAGATGCAGTATCTAGAAAAGAGGGATCATATAAACATATCAAACACATAACTCAACACTGCTCATAAAATTAAAAGATTGTGCCAAACGTTTCAAATATACATCCGCACAACATGGCTGTCCTTAAAACAGTGATAGGATTCCCTAAAGTGAGTCATGCAGACACAACTCCACAGTATATGATCAGAATATCTGGCGGTTAATCCACTTTTGTAACAAATTAGACCCTGCAGTAACACATTTGTGAAAGCAGCATCACACTTTAAGCTGATCTGATGGAGCATTTCCACTTCCAGACAGACAGAGCAACATGAGGATTCCTTTGGAGCAATGTCTCTGTCCATCTGATTGGTAGAAGTCTAACATTCTCTTGGTTTCAGCTCTAAACGTGTCTGAGTAGTGTACCGTGGTGTTTCACAGGTCAAAATAACACTATGAGGTGTGGTAGTGAACAAACCGCTGCAGTTTGGAATAATCATGAAGGACACGATCAAAAAACGGTCATTGTGCGTGGAAATACAAAGATAATCAAACCAAGACATAGGTTTAATGTCCCTTAAACCATAAAGCCTTTTAAAATCACAACAGTAAGTGTGATGTTACATTTTATACCACAGAAACAGACATTAAATCTACGGCTGCTGAGGTTCATCCGGTCATTATTTAGCCATTAAATAAGTGGAATAGTAAGCACCGTGTGTGGTTATGCACTCCATTTATCTACATCCTTATTTCATATATCCCTTCATGGTGCTTCTAAATGCTTCAGTGTTCACATGAAGAACTGACCCAGCAGGTTGGCCATGCCCAGCAGGATGAGGAAGCTGTGGAAGAGCGCTGAGGGCCAGCGGAGCAGCCCCTGCCTCTTCAGGGAGATCATGTGGACCAATGAGGGGAAGACGAACACTAACGCCAGGCCGCATGTTGCTCCAGAGAACCTGCAGGGGGCGACAGAGAGCAGCATCAGCGTCACAACAGGTCGATGAGTGAGGTTTACTCAGAGGTGGGAAGTAACTAAGTACATTTACTCGAGTACTATCCTTAAATTGCAATTTTGAGGAACTTGTATTACCATTTTATGCTACTTTATACTATATCATTACATTTAGAAAGGGAAATAATGTCATTTTACTCCACTACATTTATTGAAAAGCTACATTCACCAAAATGCAGCTCTAAAAATTAAACCCTTAAAGTCACAAGAGAGTCGAATTATTTACATATTTTACTTTGTTTGTCAGTGGTGGACAGAGGTGGGAAGTAACTAAGTACATTTACTCAAGTACTGTCCTTAAAGGCAAGTTTGAGGTACTTGTATTTCCATTTTATGCTACTTTATACTTCGTCTCCACTACTTTTGGAAAGGGAAATAATGTAATTTGACTGCACTACATTTTACTTTTAACAAAATGCATCTCTAAAAATTTAACAATTTAAGTCTCAAAAGAGTTAAATTATTTACATATTTTACTTTGTTTGTCTACAACAGTAAAATGCTACTGTTGTCACAAAAAAAAAAGTATAAATATAATTATATACACACATATAATATAAATATAATTATATACACACATCTCAATGAGTACTTTTACTTTTAAAACCATACCCAATGGGCCATATGGGCACGTCACTGTACCCAGGAAGTAAACGATGGAAAAAGAGAAATGTCCAACGAGGCGTTCTGGGGCAGCACAGACAGGTCTTCTCTGTGTTAGAGTTTTACTCGCTACAGGGTGTACTTTGAGGGTTTTGACTCTGCAGACCGTTTACATGCAGAAAAACCTTCATAACAACAAGGGGACGGGTGATAACCAGAAAAGCATGACATGGGACCTTTAAGTACAATTAGGAAAATGTTCTTAAGAGTAAACGTACTCATTGCAGAAAAAACACAATAAATAACGGCTAGTACAAGAAATTAAGCATTAATACCACCCACAACTCAGAGAGTAATTGATGGGTACATTTTGCAAAAACATTTATTTCTCTTATTATTTTTGTGGGCATTAATGCCTTTTTAGCAACGCAGAGATGACATGAAACGTACGAGAAAGAGAGAGATGGTAAATGAAACATACAAGACAACTTGCGGCGGCCACCATTAACGCCTAAGCTGAAGAAATCACAACGGAGAAACGGACTCACATGAGCTCCAAATGCTGTACGTGGACATGGCGTTTCATTTCAAGTGTGTTTCCTCAGTAGTGTTTTACGACTTGATTAGAGAAGATCTTGTGCTCCCCTACGATGACCCACTGACTCTTTGTGTTGAAGCAAAAGATTTTATAGAAACTAAATATTTATTTGAGAGAATCTTCCAAGACGTGGCAGCCAGAATATACGGTCTTTTGATGTGACATTTATGGACCTTACCGGTATCTGTAATGGTGATGACAGATAATGAAGCTTATAATAAAACATGTTGTGGCTCTAGAGAACTTAGTAGTCGCATTGTGGGTAATAAGGATCCAGTATGTTTACAACTTGGCTCATACTAGGTCATAAAAGTGAGAGTGGAAGCTGGACTTCTTCAAGGTTAAGCTAGGTTTTATACATTTGGCTACATCTATCTACACACAATATAACGGTCACATCTGTTCAGTTAAACAATTCCAGGAGTCATCATCAGGTTTATGATGAACTTAATACTGTTTTCACACCACATTGAAATGTAATTAGGACTTTTACACATAGTTCTGTCCATGTTATGTTATCTTGTGTCTTTTGTAGCCACAGGTTTGCGAAACAATTGACTTATTACATTTGATTTATTGTTGTGCAGCGAGTATGATAAGGGACGGTTCAAACGCACCTGATGATGGATCCAATATTGGGATAAAACTTGGCCATCAGGACGCCGGTTCCAACTATTAAAATGTTCAGCGCCAGAACGTGGAAGAAGCTGCAGGAAGATGAAGAAACATTAGATGTGTTGCAATATAATTTCAACCCTCATTCAGAGGTCCCACACGCAGCAGGTTTATGGAAGTCTAATTTCACCTTTAAGACTTTGAGTGTCTGTTTCCTTAATTGATTTTATTTTATGGTAACACTGAAAATGTCCCTGCTGTGGAACCCAAAAAGGATCTGTGATGGACTCAGAGGATTCAGTCATGCATTTGGACCCAGAATAAAATAATATAATGTACTTCAAAGGAGAATTAAGTAGCAGTTTGACCATTAAGACCGAATGTTCTGGTACGTAATGTTTAATAAACTTATAAAAGCTTATTAGAATAGAATATATCTGTATTGTCATCATACAAAGTACAATGACATTTCTTTGGCAACTCTCACTGCAGTCAACAAATAGACACAAATAAATAAATTGTGGTAAAAGCAGAGGTCGTAGCGATGACAGTGCAACGAGATACAATTAAATGTCAATGTGCATATTTATACTTACAGTCTAAAGACGTTAAATGGACAAAACTGTATACATTACATTGCATTTAGCTGACGCTTTTATCCAAAGCGACTTACAATAAGTGCGTTCGACCAACAAAATACAACTTGAAGAAAACAGAATCATATAAGTACATCAGGCTTCATACATGTAGTGTATTTCTAACTGTGTGTTCATAAAGGGTTTTAGTAACCAAAGGAAGCAAGTAACATAGCCATTCATATTTTAAATAGTAGTGGTCTTTGAGGGGCGGAGGTGTGTTTATGAATGTCCACAGTTGTTTTAATGTGCTCTGATAATGTGCTTATCGCCATCAGTCTGCTGAGCTTCCACAGAAATAACGAGAGGTGTAATGTGATGTCCTTCAGTGGTACCTGGGGTAATGGTTTCCAAAGATCTGGCCCATCACCTGGACCCGCACCAGGTAGCCCAGCAGGGGGTAGACTGTGATCATCTGGAACAGCAGGAAGCCCCGCGCCACAAACACCATCACATCGCTGGTGGGGAAGTTATCCAGGAAGTTCTGCAGGAGACAAGAGAGCCAAGAAAGAAATATCTCTTACGGTTGTTTCCCTATCCCAAAATCTGCTGCCTCATACAGAAATGTTTTGGAGGGTCTTATGAGGGTACTTGTTTTAACTAGGTGGAGTTCAACAATCTCCTATGAATATCCCCTGCATCCAAAAACAGCAAAGACAAACCTACATAAAAGATAAATTGCATTATTCCACTCAGGAAAAGTTATTTCTGTCAGTCTTCATTTTCTGTTAAAGGTCCCATGTCATGGCCGTTTCTACTGATCATAACTCCATTGTTGAGGTCTACTAGAATAAATGTATATTGTTCAATGTTCCAAACTCTCATTGGTTTCTCACAGCATCTCTGTATAGCATGTGTATTCACTCTCTGTCCTAAACGGCTTGTTGGAGCTCCTCCCCCCCCACCCTGTGAGCCCAGTGGCCGTCTGCGAGACAGCGAAACCCAGCCCGAAACACACAAACACCCGCAGCCTGGCTGGGAGTTTGTGTGTGTGCTCAGGCTGAGTTCCACGGTGTCTCGCTGTCTCGCCGACCCCACACCAGTGAGCCGGCTCACAGTGTCCCGCTCCTCGCAGCAGCGAGCCTTGCAACGTCCCGCCGAGTGTGTGTGTGTGAGGAAGTCCGCGGATCGGTCCAAACGTAACGGCTCCGCGGACGTAACGTAACCATTTGGACCAATCTACGTCGCTATACCCAAGAAGTAAACAATGGAAAAAGAGAAATGTCCAACGAGGCGTTCTGGGGCAGCACAGACAGGTCTTCTCTGTGTTAGAGTTTTACTCACTACAGGGTGTACTTTGAGGCTGTGTGACTCTTACATGCAGAAAAAGCTTCATAATACAAAGGGATGGGTAATAACCGGAAAAGCATGACATGGGATCTTTAAAGCTGCACAGCGATGGAACTGATCTACAATCAGAGACCAGACTACATTCAGTTGATTGAAAACCTGGTTCGTGAGGAATCAGCTCTGAAACACTGACGCAATCTTCTGCTCCTTAAAACCCACAGCCTGTGTTTTAACATGTTCTTTTTTGTTTAGTTGTATTTAATTTGTTTTATTAACATTTCCAGTAATGTATGTTGCATGTTTTTATTTGATTGTATTTACTTGTTTAAAATGAAATGTGTCTTTAGGTTGATTTACAACATCTGTCCAGGGACTAGATGAAAATAGCCTCTTGGCACATTTACAGACATTCATGTGCACTGTCCCTAAAATATGAATATAAAATATATAATATAAAAAGGAAAACGATATATAAGTCAGTGTAAAAATCTCACTGGTTCGATGCAGTCTTTGGAGAGAGGAGGTGAGGGGAAGGCAGCGAAGATCAGCACGCCCACATACAGGTAGGTGAGCCCGACTAGAAGATAGGCCACGGACAGGTCCCGCACCTGAAACAGAAAACACAAAGGACATCAGACTCAGCATCTCTTCACATCAAACTGTTCTCACCGAGGGCCACGTACAGAAAAACATACTACAGTAAGGGCTGTATGCTCACTAGAGGTATATCGCCTCATAAGTTCAGTATTAAGTTAGTAAAATCAATCAAATGTAGGTACATGATGCTCGTGAGTGTTGGCAGCTCATCCCTTAAAACAGAAGCCTCAGATTGATTATAATAAGAGGAAACGGGAAGTGTATACGTCAAGCTTGTTGTGTAAATAAGTCATTGGGATTTTTTCTTATCAACTAAGATTTGTTAGAAAATGTTTCCAACTTCAATTGACTGGATTTATTTGAAAGGTTGTTTTTATTAACACATGAATACAGTGTGATATGTTTACATATATATTTAAGAAGTACAACACAAGCGCAAGTTTCATTTGTGGGCCGTATTCCATTATACTTTTTTAATTAGCTGAGGGCCGATTCAAAATAGTAGTTTGGACACCCCTGCTTTACACACTGGGTGTTTCTCAATGTCGAGGAAGGATGCTCCAGAGCCACTATTTTAAGCATACTACGTCATCGAAGGACTGTTCCAATGCCCAGCATACTTGGAATTCTACCGAGCCCGGCGTACTTCGTAGCGAGAAATTTCGAGGCTGCACATGAGTAGACTCCGCGGTCTTAAAATCCCCACAATGCTTTGCGCACGGACCAATGTCAGGCGGGGCCTCTCATATGACGCACACCTGCACACTTGCTCGCCTGTTCCACTCTTCGTTTTCCGAATGCCAGGAAGTATTCTCGCCTCGCTTCTGAAGCAAGATGCTCGGAAGACATGTGCTACCAAGCAAGCGTACTCGACATTGAGAAACACCCTGGGTCTTCAGAAGCGAGGCAAGAATCCTTACTAGCCTCGGAAAACGAAGAATGGTGGAACAGGCTAGCAAGTGTGTAGGTGTGCGTCATATGAGAGGCCCCGCCTTACATTTTCCGCCACAGATTTGGGGAAATTGGTCCGTGCGCAAAGCATTGTGGGGATTTTAAGACCACGGGACTCGATGAACATCCTTCCTCAACATTGAGAAACACCCCCTGAGCTACATATACCACTGTGGGACTGACTTCCTGTTTCTGAACGGGACATTAAGGTAGTGGCAAAGTCTCACACAATGACTCGGGACCCAAAGTGTGAGACTGAGCTGTGTTTCCTGAAGTCAGCAGGGATGACCGTGTAATGCTCACATTGTTCTCCTGGTGCTTGTTGCTCTTCATCAACGTGATGACGCAGTTGTGAATGAAGAAGGCCAGCGTGAGGACGCCAGTGAACTGAGGGAAAAGCGTCCTGAACTCTAAAAGAACCGAGAAAAAGGAGAGGGGTTAAATATTTGTCGCTGTAAAGAAACAAGGACGCATGGAGATGGAAAGCTAGAGTCTAGATAGGAAGGGTTCATCAGATCGGGAGCATTCTAATAATAATAATACATTTATTATAGCGCTTTTCCAGATGCTCAAAGCGCTTTACAAATACACATTACACATATCACACATGCAATGGTCACCACTGTGGACAATACCCACAGTTCGGGTGAAGTGTCTTGCCCAAGGACACAACGGCCTGACGCAGTGGCGGCAGGAGCGGGTTTCGAACTGGAGTTCCCCAGCACCCCCCTTGATCTGATGATCAGATGCACAGACCACTGCGCCACCCGACCCGTAATGTAATGCTGTGTCTATCTGACTTTCACATGTGTTTAAAGGTTGCTAGAGGAAACCACATGTACGGTCAGTGGGAAAGAGTATTTTTTTATCAAATACAGATCAAACTTTATAGACATAGCCCATTTCACACAAACCAATAACGAATTCTTCCCCGCCCCTTCCCAGGTAATACATATACTAAGTAAGACACGACTACGTTGATCATCAGATCAAGGGGCGTTGGTGAACTCCAGTTCGAAACCCGCCTCGGCCGCCACTGCGCCAGGCCGTTGTGTCCGTGGGCAAGACACTCTACCCGCATTTGCTCCTGTGGGTAATGTCCACAGTAACATGTCCAATATGTGTAATATGTACTTGTAAAGCGCTTTGAGCACCTGTAAAAGCGCTCTAATAAAAAAAATGTAATGCATTATTATTATTATTATTATTATTACGTGATGGATAAAAACACAGAAGTCAATAAACTTTTTACTTTAAGACTAATGAAAAGCCAGATTTAGAAGACTTGAGGTTCAAGGAAACAGCTAGGTTTAATATCCTATCAAGGGACAAGAAATAAAACTCATATCAGAATACATGGCATCAGGGAGACTCGGAGTGGAGCTGTCTGTTTGGAAGAGGTGGCAAACATACATTTTATACAAGTAGTATTTCCAAACATCTATGGAACGGTTTACACTCCTGGACGTGAACCACAGATAGTTAAGAGTTTATCTGCCTGGTTTTATACGAGTTGTGGAGTAAAGATACGTACAGTACAGAAGCATTGAAGCGTGCGGATAGCTACCTGGCAGGTAGAACTCGGTGTAGTCGAACCAGTGGAACTGCAGGTGGAAACCGAGGCGGAAAGCTTTAATGGTGACCAGCGAAAGCAGGTACACCACTGAAATCGTTCCTGGAGAAAATGGAAAGAAAAATACATTACAGATTTTATTTCGGCTTTTTTAAAACTGTAGTATGTGCTCATTGTCATACTGCCCGAGTATGCTTAATGAAATGCACCTTTTCCTATAAATAAAAGCAGAGGACACGAGTAATATCTGTGCTTCTTCTTATTCTGTTGCTGCGTTGACACGTGAAAAGGATTATTATCTTATATCGCTTGGTGTCTTCTTTTGTAAAGGGTTACACTGTTCAGTATCGCTACAGGACACATGTTAGTATTGATATGTATTTCCTCTTGTATTTATTTAGATTGGCTTTGATAGTAGATGTAATCCAAAAGTCATAATAATAATTAATAAGCGTTATGTGTATAGCCGCTTTCATACAAGAATTGCAGTCTGAAGCGCTTCACAGTAGACCGTTAACATCTCTTGAAACACTCACAGAAAATTGATATAACATAGAAAACAGTACACACACCATGTATACATCACTTCAGGGGACATTGCATTGACTTACATGCATTTCCTGGAGACTTATCCTAACCTTAACCAAGTCTTCACCCTAAAATTAATAATTCCCCTCATGGGGACCTCCAATTTGAGTCCCCACACGTGACTGTGTAAACAGATATACACACACACACGATTGTGAGAAACAGCATTTCGTTCTCCCTGTCTGTATCTCAATCCAATCCATGTTTATTTATATAGCAAAGTGCTGTACATCAATACATATATAAATAGCAGCATAAATACATTTAGACAAAATCGATAGGACAAAAAAAACAAATTTAAAAGCACGAGACAATTAAACCATACTTAAAGCCACAGACTGAAAAACTCTCATACACGATGTAAAAACATTTAAAACACAACAAAATAGAAAACCCAAATGTCTCACACACAGAGGATTGATAATAACGTCGACCTTGGCCTCTCTTACCCAGGAAGGTGAACCTGGCGAAGAAGGATGCCGAGCGGAAGCAGAGCAGCGGCAGCAGCAGGATGATGAGGTAGAGCGGGATGGTGTTCGTCTTGCTCCACCAGTGTTCAAAGGTCGAGGCTGAAGTATCGTTTCCACTGGTGGTGAGGAAGAGGGTGCTGACGGTGTAGTTCCCCTCATGGTTAGTGTTGGGGAACGGACAGATGACTGGTGGGAAGAACAGCAACACAGCATTACCATTTGGAAAGTCGGGTTATTCACTTTATCGTGTCGACAACGAACACACATGTTTTATGTAGCTGCACATTTTCAAAACGGCTCCACGGATTGGTCCATTTGGGTATGGGCACGTCACTGTACCCAGGAAGAAAACAATGGAAACAGAGAAATCTCCAAGGAGGCGTTCTGGGGCAGCACAGACAGGTCTTCTCTGTGTTAGAGTTGTACTCGCTACAGGGTGTACTTTGAGGGTTTGTGACTGCAGACCGTTTACATGCAGAAAAACCTTCATAACACAAGGGGACGGGTGATAACCGGAACAGCATGACATGGGACCTTTAAGGTTTTGAAGACAATACTTGATATCCTTTGTCGAAAGTCATGAATTTAGGACTAAATTCTCTCAATTGAACTTCTTCTGAAACGATAATCTACCATAAAGTTATGAGTGTCGTTAGTGGCTTACCTCTATCCGAGCCGTTGGTCCCAAACTCTGAATCGGACATGTTGACATTGTGAGAGTAGTCTGCAGACAGGAGATGAAACGGATCAAAACAAAGTCTCTTTTTGCACATTTTATTGGGGCGAACACTGATAATCAGGCCAGGGGAGTAACATGAAGAAAGAAAAAAAGTAACTTTATTCCTTTACAGTTACATAAAAAACAAAAGACGAAGTAAGATTACTAGAAACATTTTTTAAATGAGGATAACTAGCAAGATTACAACACATTTTAAAATACAGATTATAGTTAGACATACTGCCTGATTAGACTAAATATCTTCCCCTCGTAGGCTACGTTGTTCTGTTGTCTTACATAAACCCCCCCTCACAACCTACCTAACCTCTGAATTCATAATGCCCTAAATCACACGCTAATTGACTCATTGTTGAACACAAGGTGAGGCCGTCACACAGCAGCCATGTTTCAAAATGTCAGCTCATTTGAAGACACAAGCAGCCAGGTACTGATCGAATAAGCAAAGTAACGGTAAAACGTAATTATGAAATACCCTTTTTTTCTGGTATAATAGGAGCGTTGTGACTTACTGTAGATAAACTGTCCGCTGTTGTAGAGGAAATTGGACATGAGGACCCAGTAGACCACCATGGCTCCTATGAGGGACACCATGGAGAAAACCAAACTGGACCACTGGCCAAACTTTCCAAAGTAATATCTACATACGTCCGGGAACTCCCAGTCCAACGTGTCCATGTAGGCTGCAAACAACACAGAGGAGGAACAATTAGAGAGGTATTCTCTTTGACTAGATCTTTCTTAAAACAGTATATTTTAGTGTTCTTCACGCTCATGCATTTTTCACGAGTCCCAGGGGTGTCAAACTCAAGGCCCGGGGGCCAAATCCGGCCCGCGACTTCATTTTATGTGGCCCCGCAAGAGCTTGCAAAGAATATGATATGTTTAGATGCCGCTTTACGGAAGCAGGTTGCCCATAAACTACATGTCCCATAATGCATCTCGTTTTGTGACATGCGCACTGAAGAGACTTGCAATTATTTGCACTGAACTTCTGCTTTCAGACGTAGTTGGAAGTTAATTACCAAGTTATTATCCTATCAGATAATAATCCAATTCAGAGGCAATAATGTAATATAATACATTATTTTATATATATATTTATATAGTTACAACCAGCCCTTTGAGTGCAACCATTAATGTGGCCCGCGATGAAATTGAGTTTGACACCCCTGCTTTACATGTAGCCTTTTGGGCCCAATTCCAAACCAACCCCTACATCCTCTCCCTCCACCTCCAATTCGCGTGGAGGGTCCGCCATATTAAGTGCTGTTCCAAACCAAGAAGTGGAGAGAATAAGTTATTAAACCCTCCAACAGGAAGTCTGCTCTAACCTGCTGCACTACCTGACCATGTACAATGCTTTTTGAGTCCAGGTGTGTACAAATAGTTCCATGAAAACACTTACATAAATAAAATACATTTTAAATATTGGTAAACACACCTTGAAGATGTGATTTGTCTTTTCTTGATAACTGTACAGGTGTGCATTTGCTATAAACTCACATGCTAATGTACAGAAACTGTTAGAAAAACATTATTAAAAGCCACTAAATATTATTTTTTTGCTATATAGATGCTGATTCAAAACGGAGGTTACGAAATGTTAGGACAGTTTCAGTTTCTGCCGGAGAGAGGTAATATTGTACCCACTACTTAGATCTTAAAAGGAATCGAAGACAATTGAATAATTAGTTTACTTCTTGCTGCCTCCTTGTGGATGAAAGGATCCAGTAGTTAAAGCTTTCACAAGACCAAACTGACACTATAAGTAAGCAATTAGTTGATTACTGTCGGAGCCATTTATGTTCAATGTTGGATAATTGTGCAATATTATTTTTGGACACTTGGTGGCGGTGATTAGCTACACACGGGTTTATAAACGGTGTCACATGTGACTGGAAAGGTAGAGAGAACAAACAGCTCTTAGAAAATAATAGGAAATATGTTTTGTACAGTTACTTCAATAAACCTCTAACTAAACTGCATCTGTCGTACAATCACTCTCACAAATACCTGTAATCTAACACCATATGGACACACACATTGCCATAACAAGTGCATCAATAAGTGATCTATGATATCGTCAAGTCTCTCTGCTGAGAACACTGACATTGAGTAGAGAAAACATTGCATTATGAATGTTACTGTGAGACTCCAGGTCACACTTGTCATGAGTGCACTCATGACAAGTGTGACCTGGAGTGTGTGCCTGACTGATTAATGTCAGTGTGCATGCTGCTGCTGTGAGGTGTGAAAGGCTGGCAAGAACATGCTAATGAGCCACTCCTCTGTGGGAACATGACGACAACACACACTGAACACCTGCCAGAACTTATTAAATGTATTTTAATGAAATAATAATTACCGCTAGTAATAATAATGAATGTGTTTGTATGCTGAGCAGAGATGGGAAGGAGTGGAGTACACATACTTTGTTGCTGTACTTAAGTACATTTTTCTGGTGTCAGTACTTTAATCCACTACTTATTTTTCTGACGACTTTCTACTTTCTACTTCTTACATGTTGAACACAAATACCTGTACTTTCTACTTCTTACATGTTGAATACAAATACCTGTACTTTCTACTTCTTACATGTTGAATACAAATACCTGTACTTTCTACTTCTTACATGTTGAACTCAAATACCTGTACTTTCTACTTCTTACATGTTGAACACAAATACCTGTACTTTCTACTTCTTACATGTTGAACCCAAATACCTGTACTTTCTACTTCTTACATGTTGAACCCAAATACCTGTACTTTCTACTTCTTACATGTTGAACTCAAATACCTGTACTTTCTACTTCTTACATGTTGAACCCAAATACCTGTTACTTTCTACTTCTTACATGTTGAACTCAAAATACCTGTACTTTCTACTTCTTACATTTGAACCCAAAATACCTGTACTTTCTACTTCTTACATGTTGAACACAAATACCTGTACTTTCTACTTCTTACATGTTGAACACAAAATCCCTCTTACATGTTGAACCCAAATACATGTACTTTCTACTTCTTACATGTTGAACCCAAAATAACCTGTACTTTCTACTTCTTACATGTTGAACTCAATACCTGTACTTTCTACTTCTTACATGTTGAACCCCAAATACCTGTGCTTTCTACTTCTTACAATGTTGAACACAAATACCTGTACTTTCTACTTCTTACATGTTGAACTCAAATACCTGTACTTTCTACTTCTTACATGTTGAACTCAAATACCTGTACTTTCTCTACTTCTTACATGTTGAACCAAATAACCTGTACTTTCTACTCTTCTTACATGTTGAACACAATACCTGTACTTTCTACTTCTACATGTTGAACTACAAATACCTGTACTTTCTACTTCTGTACATGTGTGAACACAATACCTGTACTTTCTACTCTTCTTACATGTTGAACACAATACCTGTACTTTCTACTTCTTACATGTGGAACTCAATACCTGTACTTTCTACTTCTTACATGTTGAACACAAATACCTGTACTTTCTACTTCTTACATGTTGAAACCCAAATACCTGTACTTTCTACTTCTTACATGTTGAACTCAAATACCTGTACTTTCTACTTCTTACATGTTGAACTCAAATACCTGTACTTTCTACTTCTTACATGTTGAACCCAAATACCTGTACTTTCTACTTCTTTACATGTTGAACCCAAATACCTGTACTTTCTACTTCTTACTGTTGAAACACAAATACCTGTACTTTCTACTTCTTACTACATGTGAACACAATAACCTGTACTTTCTACTTCTTACATTTTTGAACACAAATACCTGTACTTTCTACTTCTTACATTTTGAACACAAATACCTGTACTTTCTACTTCTTACATTTTGAATACAAATACCTGTACTTTCTACTTCTCACATGTTGAACACAAATACCTATACTTTCTACTTCTTACATGTTGAACTCAAATACCTGTACTTTCTACTTCTTACATGTTGAACCCAAATACCTGTACTTTCTACTTCTTACATGTTGAACTCAAATACCTGTACTTTCTACTTCTTACATGTTGAACACAAATACCTGTACTTTCTACTTCTTACATGTTGAACCCAAATACCTGTACTTTCTACTTCTTACATGTTGAAACCCAAATACCTGTACTTTATACTTCTTACATGTTGAACACAAATACCTGCTACTTTCTACTTCTTACATGTTGAACACAAATACCTGTACTTTCTACTTCTCACATGTGTAAAGGAATATTTTAGTCTTGTTAAAGTATATAGAGTTTAGTGACTTGTCCTCGGGAATCTGTTTAATATGGTTGAAGTGTATTCCTGCCTGTAATGTGATCCATAGCTTCTCAGGAAGACACAGGTCAAGAGGTCATCTGATGTCTTGTGGGGGAGAAGCTTGGCTCATGTGGGGTTTACAATGCAACGAGTCTTTGTCTCGACATCTGGCATGCATTAAAGGAAAACCCGCGTGTTTTAGGGCCCTCCTCTCTTTTAGGGTATAGATGTGTGCTTGGCGCTTTTTGTCTTCAGAGTTGGCTGGTATCTTACAGGGGAACTGTAATATACTGTGAACTCTCCGGCCGCTCAGGGCTCTCAATAAATATCAGTGTATTGACAGGCGAATCCAGTTTCACTCATTTCATGATTGGCTCAACATTGCTGCAAAGAAGTTTTAACTTCACAACATGTTGAACTCAAAAACCTGTACTTTCTACTTCTTACATGTTGAACTCAAATACCTGTACTTTCTACTTCTTACATGTTGAACTCAAATACCTGTACTTTCTACTTCTTACATGTTGAACCCAAATACCTGTACTTTCTACTTCTTACATGTTGAACTCAAATACCTGTACTTTCTACTTCTCACATGTTGAACTCAAATACCTGTACTTTCTACATCTTACATGTTGAACACAAATACCTGTACTTTCTACTTCTCACATGTTGAACTCAAATACCTGTACTTTCTACTTCTTACATGTTGAACTCAAATACCTGTACTTTCTACTTCTTACATGTTGAACACAAATACCTGTACTTTCTACATGTTGAACACAAATACCTGTACTTTCTACTTCTTACATGTTGAACTCAAATACCTGTACTTTCTACTTCTTACTTGTTGAACCCAAATACCTGTACTTTCTACTTCTTACATGTTGAACTCAAATACCTGTACTTTCTACTTCTTACATGTTGAACTCAAATACCTGTACTTTCTACTTCTTACATGTTGAACTCAAATACCTGTACTTTCTACTTCTTACATGTTGAACTCAAATACCTGTACTTTCTACTTCTTACATGTTGAACTCAAATACCTGTACTTTCTACTTCTTACATGTTGAACTCAAATACCTGTACTTTCTACTTCTTACATGTTGAACTCAAATACCTGTACTTTCTACTTCTTACATGTTGAACTCAAATACCTGTACTTTCTACTTCTTACATGTTGAACTCAAATACCTGTACTTTCTACTTCTTACATGTTGAACCCAAATACCTGTACTTTCTACTTCTTACATGTTGAACACAAATACCTGTACTTTCTACTTCTTACATGTTGAACTCAAATACCTGTACTTTCTACTTCTTACATGTTGAACCCAAATACCTGTACTTTCTACTTCTCACATGTTGAACTCAAATACCTGTACTTTCTACTTCTTACATGTTG